GGGGGGGGGGGGGGGGGGGAAGTTGCGGTCCTTGAAAAACGAGGTGTACGGGAGTGGAATGCCTCATCCTGGGAGCAGATGCGGCAGAGGCAAAGGAATTGGGAATGGGGGATGGCATTTTTGCAGGAAGGTGGGTGGGAGGAGGTGTATTCTAGGTAGCTGTGGGAGTCGGTGGGCTTGAAATGGATATCGGTTTCTAGGTGGTTGCCCGAGATGGAGACAGAGAGGTCCAGGAAGGTGAGAGAGGTGTTAGAGAAGGTCCAGGTGAACTTAAGGTTGGGGTGGAAGGTGTTGGTGAAGTGGATGAACTATTCGAGCTCCTCGTGGGAGCACGAGGCGGCGCCGATACAGTCATCAATGTAACGGAGGAAGAGGTGGGGTTTAGGGCCAGTGTAGGTACGGAAGAGGGATTGTTCCACGTAACCTACAAAGAGGCAAGCATAGCTTGGGCCCATGCGGGACCGCAACTTCCCCACCTCAGTGGTCGAGAACGCCCTCCACCGTGTCTCCCGCATTTCTCGCAACTCATCCCTCACACCCCGTCCCCGCAATAAGAACCAAAAAAGAATCCCCCTTGTCCTCATGTACCACCCCACCAACCTCCGGATCCAACACATCATCCTCCGACACATCCGCCATCTGAGACATCTTTCCCTCCCCACCCTTATCTGCTTTCCGGAGGGACCACTCTCTCCATGACTCCCTTGTCCGCTCCACACTCCCCTCCAGCCTCACCACACCCGGCACTTTTCCCTGCAACCGCAGGAAGTGCTACATCTGCCCCTACACCTCCTCCCTCACCCCCATCCCAGGCCCCAAGAAGACTTTCCACATCAAGCAGATGTTCACCTGCACATCTGCTAATGTGGTATACTGCATCCGCTGTACCCGTTGTGGCCTCCTCTGCATCGGGGAAACCAAGCGGAGGCTTGGGGACCGTTCTGCAGAACGCCTACGCTCGGTTTCGCAATAAACAACTGCACCTCCCAGTCGCGAACTATTTCAACTCCCCCTCCCATTCCTCAGACGACATGTCCATCCTGGGCCTCCTGCAGTGCCACAACGATGCCACCCGAAGGTTGCAGGAACAGCAACTCATATTCCACTTGGGAAGCCTGCAGACCAATGGTATCAATGTGGATTTCACAAGCTTCAAAATCTCCCCTCCCCCTACCGCATCCCAAAACCAGCCCAGCTTGTCCCCGCCTCTCTAACCTGTTCTTCCTCCCACCTATCCCCTCCTCCCACCTCAAGCCGCACCCCGATTTCCTACCTACTAACCTTGACCTGTCCGTCCTCCCTGGACTGACCTATCTCCTCCCTACCTCCCCACCTACACTCACTTTTACTGGCTCCATCCCCACCTCTTTGACCTGTCTGTTTCCTCTCCACCTATCCTCTCCTCTATCCATCTTCTATCCACCTCCCCCTCTCTCCCTATTTATTTCAGAACCCCCTTCCCCTCCCCCATTTGTGATGAAGGGTCTAGGCCCGAAACGTCAGCCTTCCTGCTCCAATGATGCTGCTTGGCCTGCTGTGTTCATCCAGCTCTGCATCTTGTTGTCTCAGATTCTCCAGCATCTGCAGTTCCCACTATCTCTGATAGTTGAATGATGTGGCCATTACAGTGTAGATTACTGGTAGCATTAATGTTGGGAGCCGAACAGTTTCATGATCCTTGGTTTTGCAGTATGGTTGAGATTCTGTAATTCTATTTTTTTTCAACATGACTGAATTCCAGCATTCAGGGCAAATCCTTTTGTTGTTTTGTTTTCCTTTTGGAATGTCTGCTAGCTATCTTGAACTCTAGCACTCGGAGTGAAAAAGAGTCACCCCTGTGTTTCAGGTAAAGACAAGAGGATAGTTCTTCATCTGTCCTTTACAGTATGAAAATCCTCAAACCCATACTGGTACACACAGGAATGTTCATTCCCATTAGCACAGTCCAGTAGAGTTAAAACGAGCATTTTGACACCCTGCCCCTGAGTACTTTTCAAAAGGAAAAATGCAAAACATGTCTGCAGTTTGGGACATAACCTGCAGGGGGTGGATTGCTGTTGAAAAGGATGTTGCCAGCCCCTCGTTATTTTTGTATTCACATAAGATCACAGTGCAGTTCATCTTTTTTTGCCTCCTATCACTTTTAAAGGGCTGTTATTTTAAATTCCCTTTGCATTTGCAGGTCTCACTTTCCACGCAGCTACTTAATTTACATCTGCAGCCATTTTTGCCTGCATCAGCCCCCTTTTAAAAAGGCACTTTGCAACTATAAGTTAAATTGTTCACAGTATTCTGGAGTTCTGACCTGTGAGTTATGACAACACAAAGTAATATTAAGTATACAACACTTGTTCAACAGTCACTTCATGCAAATGCCATGCTCTGATAACTCTAACAAGACAAAGTTTAATACCAAAGTCTTTGGTATTACCAATGAGGAGTTGAATCCTCCATCGATATCCCATAGAGTCACCAATGGCCAGATATTTAATTGGACCAAACACAAATATTTGACAACAGGTGTGTGTCTGAGGCTGGCAATTGAGTGGCAAGTAACTCACCTCCCAAGTTCCCACAGCCTGTCCACTATCTACAAGATATAAATCAGGCATGATGGAATACTCTCCACTTGTTTGATGCTTGCAGCTCCAACAATATTCAAGTAACTTGACACCGTGCAGGATAAGGCAGCCAACGTGACCGATGCTTCGCAAACTTCACCTTAAATACTCACTGCCTCCATCACCAGTGCACTGTGACGAAAGTATAGTATGTGCTGTCTGCAACATGCAGCAACTTAACAAGGCTTCTGTGACAGAACCACCTGAATCTTCATCTTCTACTACGGAGAAGGGCAAGGTAGCAGACTTCTGGGAACACCAACACTGCTGCTTTCCCTCCAAGTCCACTACATGTCAGTTTGGAAATATATGCCTGTTCCTTCATTGTTTCCAGATCAAAAGCCTGAAATTCATTATTTAAACGCACTATGGAAGTTCTGTCACCACAGACTCCAGAACTTCAAGGCAACAGATCAGCATCACCTTCTGAAGAGCAATAAATATTGACCTTGCAATGATACCCAGATCAGTGAACAGAAATCAACAAACTGTGGTTTATGCCAGTGCTTATGCTTCACGTGAATCTTTTCTCTCTCACCCTTCATCTAATCCTTTTAACTGTTGTCTTCAAACTGGTAATTACATATTTGTTCAAGACTGCCATCCATTTGATTTTTCAGATGACAGTAAACTGCAGCACAATAGTTTTGAGTAATTCACACCGTTACCATAACTGTTCAAGCATATCACACCTGAACACAACCCTAGTTCCCCACCAAATATTAAATGTATTCTATTTGTCACCACCTACCATCCACGACAGAGCTTTCAAGTTGGCCTTAAACTGTGGCTATATCTTTGTATCACCCAATGTCAGATAAAGAAAGCCAGTAGTTTCCATTTCTTATAATTTTTTCCATTGAATTATAGCTAACAGACAAGCAAAACCACATAACTTTATTGACTAATGAAAATAAAGACAACAG